CCTCAAACGTCACCAACAGGTCACACACCCCCAGCCAGCCTCCCCTGCAGTGGCCGTGCCGGCTCTGAGGGCCTGGTACAGCTCTCGCCCGGGTGTGTACGCAGGAGGAAGGCTGGCGAGGAAAGTGCCCGGGGCGCTGGGGTGCCCGCTACACGCAAGCGGCTCCCGTGGGGGGGATGGGGAACATCCACCATCTCCTTACTAAGAGCTCGGGAACCCTCCTGCGTCAGGGCGCGAGCCAGTCACTACACATCAGGGTCAGGCAGGAACGGCCCCTCTGGCCAGGCTCCTGCACCGCGGGTGAGAGTCAGCAGGCCCCTGCCCGTCCCCAACGATGCCCTTGCTGCTTTTCAGGGAGAAGCTCTTGGAGTATTTGTACTCGCTGAAGCAGCCCGACGGCTCCTTCATCATGCACGTGGGGGGCGAAGTGGACGTCAGGTGCGTGCGGGACAAAGCCAGAACAGTGTAACGGCCCCTCTGGCCAGGCTCCTGCACCGCGGGTGAGAGTCAGCAGGCCCCTGCCCGTCCCCAACGATGCCCTTGCTGCTTTTCAGGGAGAAGCTCTTGGAGTATTTGTACTCGCTGAAGCAGCCCGACGGCTCCTTCATCATGCACGTGGGGGGCGAAGTGGACGTCAGGTGCGTGCGGGACAAAGCCAGAACAGTGTGAGACGGAGCCTGGCCAGGCTCCTGCACCGCGGGTGAGAGTCAGCAGGCCCCTGCCCGTCCCCAACGATGCCCTTGCTGCTTTTCAGGGAGAAGCTCTTGGAGTATTTGTACTCGCTGAAGCAGCCCGACGGCTCCTTCATCATGCACGTGGGGGGCGAAGTGGACGTCAGGTGCGTGCGGGACAAAGCCAGAACAGTGTGAGACGGAGCGGCAGGCGTGGGGCACCGTCCCCAGCGCCCCTCCTGTGCGCTCTGCAGGGGGGAAATGGAATCGCTTTTGTCAGCTTTCCCGGTGGAAGCTCAGACACTCCCACCTCACCCCTCCCTCCGGCCTGGTCGCTTGTGGCCAAGCCGGTGTGGAGCTGTGGGAAGTCGTCCCTGTGACGGGTTGAATCACAGAAGTCCCCCAGCATGCTTTTGTGCCACTGACACACACCTTCCTGCTCTCTGGGGCTCCCACCACCTGTCCTGCTGGGCCTCATTCTCTGGTCTCCCCCAGACCAGGCACAGAATTGGGGTTACCTCCCCCCCACCCCCCGCCCTGCAGAGCAACACAGACACTGAACCACTTCAGCTCTGGGCTCAGCTCCAAGGAAACCGCTCCCCATAAATGGGACCAAAACCCCAGAGAAATGTCTTAGTCTGACGTCCTATAAGAAGGTCCGCCCCCTTGGTCAATGAAAGAGAGAGATGCACAGTGGTTGCTTCCCCCCTCCGGTAACACACATTTACACTGGGCTTGATGATAAACAGAAGGACACAAAGTGGGATTTAAGAGGGTGCAAGTGAAAGCAGACCGATCAAAGGAAGTTACTTAGTTAAAAAGAACAGAAACCGCTTAGCTAGTTCTAATCCACAAAGAATCTTGTGACATGCAAATTCTTACCCGAAACTGCTGTTCTTATGGCAGGCAAAGCTCCCCCAAGTCAGAGCTGATCTTTCCTCTGCCTGGATCTACAGCTTCTTCCGAGTTCTTTGTATCCTCTTGGGGTGGGCCAGCAGAAGGCAAAGGGCTTAAATAGATTTTCCCCCAGGGCAGGAACCCTTTGTTCAGCACTCCCCCCCCCC